TACCCTTTGGGGAGACGAACTTGGAGGTCTTGCCAGTGAAAGCAAGGAACGCCTTCTGGTTTGATCTTGTTGCATTGGATTTGTACATTCAAAAAGTAACGGTTGCGGGTGTCTTTCGTGAATGAAGAAAGATATTTGATCCACAATTTTTCATTAAATGAGCAACCAGGCAAACTTTGAACTAATTGACATTGATACTTTTCTTAGTTTAACTTTCAACCCCTGAACTTAACCTCCAATAATTGTTGTGATTGCTTTTTTAAAAGGGATACACCCATAAATGGTCCAATACCTCACTGGCACTCAGAATTTACCCCTTTCACACTTTTTTCCAACTTACATTTTATAAAGTGTGCATTTTGTGATCCTGGCAAAATTATTGTCAAAGAATTTCTGAGCAAATTTTGACTAATATATGCAGTTCATTTATATATATAAACTAATATAGTATAAAAAAGACTTTTTACCTTGAGAGTGGAATGAGTGATACATATGGAGCATGCAAACAAAATTGAAATTCGAATATTAATATATGTCCTATAAAAAGGAGAGAAACTGTTATATATTTATATCTTAAACTGGAATATTTTGGGAATTTATTCATTGCCCAATTTAAAAATAAATTATAAAAATATACATATTTCATTAGTTAGTAAGAATAATTATTTTTTTACATTATAAAAAAGGCTTGTTATTGAGGACTATAATGTGGGACTGTCACAATGAGCTGTATGAATTCTGTCACATACCACTTGTTGGGCGACTTACTAATTATCAATATAGTACTACTAATGACCTATCCTCATATCATCGTAACAAATAATTGTCACAAATTTTAAGTACAAAAATTACATTTTACTTGAAAAAGAAAAAAAATGGAGTTGGAAAACCAGTGCCATATAAAATTGTCTTCCTAAAATAAACTTCAAAAAAATAAATAATGAAATTTTTTGATGAAATCGTTTATTATTTGTAAAATTTATTTTTATTAAAAAGAAAATACAAAATATGTACACTCATTTATTACTTATTAAATTGTGTGAATAATGAATTTAAATCTATAAGCAAAAGTAAAATATATATCGATATATATCTTAGAAGAAGATTTGTCAAGAAGAGAAGAAGAAAGAAGAGAAGATTCCAACAAGATATATAGAATATCATAACAAATAATTGTCACAAATTTTAAGTAAAAAAATTACATTTTACTTGAAAAAGAAAAAAAAAATGGAGTTGGAAAACCAGTGCCATATAAAATTGTTTTCCTAAAATAAACTTCAAAAAAATAAATAATGAAATTTTTTGATGAAACTGTTTATTATTTATAAAATTTATTTTTATTAAAAAAAAATACGAAATATGTACACTTATTTATTACTTATTAAATTGTGTGAATAATGAATTTAAATCTATAAGCAAAAGTAAAATATATATGGATATATATCTTAGAAGAAGATTTGTCAAGAAGAGAAGAAGAAAGAAGAGAAGATTCCAACAAGATATATAGAATATCGATATATATCTTAGAAGCGAAGAAATTTGATTGGATCTCTGAAATCACATTGCAATATCTTCATTATCAATCAAGGTGAGCATTTTTTCATCGGAAAAATTAAAATATCTTCCGAGTTTTGTTAATTACCTTCTTCTTTTTTGTTTCTAGTAATATGATTTGAAGTTGTTTGGTTGATTGTTATGAAAATATGAGCAGAAGTAGAGGAAGAAAAATTTGGATTGATTTTTTAATTTTTTTTTGTCGCGTTCCTGTTTTGGAGTGAGTAATTGGATTTATTTGTCTTAGGTATGAAAAATTGATCGAACCTAGCGAGACTATTGTATGAGATTTGTGGAAGAGTTTTTTTTTCTTTTATGTTTCTGATTTTATAATTTTCTTTTGATTTAATGGGAGAAAGGATAAAGAAAGATTCAATATATACTAATTGTACCCAGTTACACTTTAGAAGTTTACATAACGTAAGCGTCCGTTAATGTTACTTATATGAAAAAAATATATGGAAAACAAGTTTTGATTTTCACTCGTTAGAGATTTGATGATCAATTTGGGAATTAAGGTTGGCTAATTGTGGTATAGTCTGTTTGTAGAGGAAGATTTTTGCTAGAAGTGTCTGCAGAGATATTGCGGTCACGGTTTCTAGCCTTTTGATTGTTCAAATTGATGTAAAACTCAGGAAAAGTATAGCTGTGTGTTAAAGCACAAGGAAACAATTTTGTTCCTTTTGATGCTATTTTTTTTCGCTGATAATATTATTGTGGTTCCTAATATGTGGTGCTAGTTGTTGGGTGTGTCTATGGGGGAGGTCCAAGGTCTTTGTCTCATTTCCTGCATAAAATCACTTTGCGGATTGGATAGCCTAAATTTGAATGCATCAAATTGCTTTTAGTTAAAGAACTGCAGGAAACATAATGATCCTGGACAGTTTTTGGATTCTCTCACACTCCATGATCCGCACATCACATACCCAGTGTAATCCCACAAGTAGGGTCTACAAGTAGGTCTGGGAGGGTAGTGGTGTGTACGCAGGCCTGCCTTTACCTTTGGAGGTAGAGAGCGTGTGTCCAATGGACCCTCAGCTCAAGTAAAAGCAAATCAAAGCAATTCAAAAACCACACATCACATCCTCCTCCTTTAAAAACATAAAAAATTAAAAACAAAGAGTGATGCAAGAAAGAGCTTCCTCCCTGGATGATTATAAAATAAAAATAACAAAGAGCTTCCTCCCTGGAGCATTCCTGTATATTTTTGGAGCCCATCACTATTCGCAATCCCCAATGAGAAAGAGAAAGAAGCCTTTCTTCCCCTTCGTCGCATTCTTGGTGATAAGTGTGCTCCTTCTTCGCTTTCATTTGAAATTCATGGATGATGCAAATTGATAAATCTGGCCAGATGAACAGGGCTGATACCTGCAAGAGTAACAGGGAAAATTCCCTGTATACCCAAAATATTTACCTGGTACTTTAGGCAGGCGGGATTTTCCAGCAAGATCATAGTTTCTTTTACTTTGATTTTATCCCACTGTTGGGGACTGTTATTATTGGTCATAATTCATATAGTTAATATGTTCAGAATGTCTTCATTGCCTTTTATTGCGTCATCTCCCTTTAGTTTTATGTTTGAATTCAGACTCGTATTGATTGGAGTAGAAAGTGTTGGGATTTGGTCATGATACTTAGCTTGCTAAATAATGAGATCATGTTTATCAAGGGCTATTATATTTTTGAAGGTTTACTTATCCCACTGGTACATATCTTTTTTTTCCTTATAGGACCATCTTGTGTGCTAGAAATATGATGTACAATGGGAAGAGCTCTTTACTTCCACCTAAAAGCCCCTTTCCTAGTATGGCCCCATCATATGTCGATTATGTCCCTAGTTCTGCTTTCAACCAAAAGGGCATTCAGAAACCCAGAGAAGGAAATTCACACCATCAGCGTACTTCCTCTGAAAGCTGTATTATAGAGGAGCAACCGTCTTGGTTGGATGATCTTCTTAATGAGCCAGAAACTCCT